CCAAATGTAGCAAACCAGAACTCCTTCCAGTTCCAGCTTCAAAAACGAAGAATAACAAGTTTTTGAAAAAGAGAGAAAGTTGGCAACCAAATACTTATGCAATATTTAGCTGCTAACCTCGAATAAGCTAAAATTTGTTTATCAGAACAGTTCTGGATCGGTTCTTCTATGGGGAGCTCGCAGAATTTGAAATGCATTCAAATTTTGAAACTGAACTGTCTCCACCATTTCTTTTCTGCTCATTCGACCCCTATCGGGAAAACCGAAGGAAATGGTAATACGCCCAAAGAGCTAAAGAATTTGTTGTCTAAGGTCAATCGGTAAATATTTTTTCCTTTGCTAAAGGTCAATCGATAAATATCTTTCCCTTCGCTAAAGGTCAATTCGTTGTATGAGGTCAATTGGTAAAAATATCTTTTCCTTCGATGTTGAGATGATTTATGGCGATTTTCTCTTTTTACAAAGAAATCTAATCTTCTGTGTAGACATCTCTCGTATCAGTGAAATTATTGTCGGCTTTGTAAGAATCTTAAATGATGCTATTATCTTATCTTAAGTCCAACCCACTTGGAGGCAACATAAAAACCCCCCAATAACCGTATTCTGATTCATTCTTGATTATTCATTAACTCGATCGTTCAAAACTAACTCTTCTCTGTCGAAGACTACGCTCAACGCCTGCTTCGTCTCGTACAACTCTACCTTTGACTGACGATTTAAATAAACTATAACTATCAATTCTCCTAATTTCACTACCAAATAACATTGTATTATAGTTGCCATTCTTCTACCACTGAATAAACCTTTTTTTCCTATTCAGTACATTCAAACGAAAGCTTTCACGACAACCCCATTTTGAAACTTCAAAAATTTAATATTTCCCACTAAAAATTTCAGTTCATATATTATGAGAAATTTCATAAGTACTGTAAGAAACATAAGTTATGCTTTTAAGTTCAAAACAAACAAATCTCGATTATTTTGCAAAAAGGCTACTCATCTCACCGCAAACCAAACATAACTGGAGACATTCATCAAGATTTTGAGCCAAAGAATCTGGATCATCCACCTCACCCACACTGAAAACAACACTCAACTCCCGCACTTCGTCATGCATTCAGGTATTCGGCAGAAATCGGTTATATATGTATATATAAATGTAATACCTATTATCCATTGTAAAAATCAATAAACCCACTATTTCATGACTTTTCATGGAATAGCATATCACTCGGCTAGCATACTTCTTCATTTCTTGCTATTCGAAGAAGTTGGACGAAAATCTATTAGGTCACTACTGTCAAGTCGTAGTTTCTCACAAGCTAAAAGAATAGAAAAAATAATATCGAAATGGAGTAGGACGAGAAATAAGAGTGAGAAAAATACTAACTCCCAAAATTAGGAATCAAGTCGACCGACATTTAACTAGACAGACTTCTTCCTCAAATTGCTATTCTAACAGCATTGAAAAACTGCAGTATCTACGGAAATAACAATATTACATGGTACGCAATGCGGTAAAGTGAATTCCTAGAGCAGTGGCCGATCATGAGGGGACCAAATCATCATCCTTGATTATAAAAGTTATGATTTGTGGATCATATAAATCGGGAATTTTAGTGGTCGGTCAAGTTGTATTGCACTACAAGCATATAAAATAGGAACGGAAAAGTTTCCTAGCACTGAACTTAGCATTAAATTTCTAGCACAGTAACACAGATTCATGAATGCTGAGGGAATACCGATTTTTGCAAAGGTATCCGAAAAATCCAATTGGGAAAAATACGACCGTAAAATTTTTTTTCTCGCTTTTATTAAAACTGGTATGAAAAGGTTCTTTATATGATCTGGGAAATGGCTATCCCTAAATTTAAGCTCTAATAAATATGGTATAGTCCAAGCCAGCAGAAACTCTGCGCATAAATCGTACTCCATTTCCTTCTACACTTCTTCATATCGGTAATATCAGTTTCTGTCTTACATCAAATTTTGTTTAATTTTACTATTCACACTTTTCTTGAAAATGTCTTGGCAAGCCCTATCCAGTGCTAATAAAGATTTCGAAAGTTTGTAAAGATAAATTGTGGAGAATGTATACGGATTTGGTGTTTCAAAATGGTTTGGTCTGTATCATTACCGATCTTAGGATCGATCTGGTTTCTTCCTAAGATTACATTCCAAGAAGCCTTATTTTGAAGAGTGCCCATACCTTCCACTTATTCCTTTAATAACATTACGACACTTTGCAAAGTAATGGTAAGTCTTTCTCAAATCAGTTGTTATTATCTTGAATTCATCAAATGACATAACACTGTGGGCAGAACATGTTTGCACAGCGAGACACGTAGGTTTCTGGTAATTATTGAGATTTGATACGAAAGAGAAAGCCCGCACTAATGCGAAGGAATTGCGTGAGTACATGGCTACATATTCACGTGAACTTATCAGAGAGCTGTACCCGCATTGATCACGTCAATGCACTAAATATTTAAGAACTCCGACTTGTAAATCCGGTTGACAGATGCTTCACTACTTTTACTAATGTTATCGGTTGTAGCTGACGCTACAACGACAGTTCCTTATGAATTGTAAACACAACAGACATCACTGTTGTTAATTAGTATTGTCAACTACTACAACATAATAACGTAAACAAAATTAAAGGATTTAATTACTGATATTTGTTGCAATAAGCGAAATACCGCACTGTTAACAAATACTGAAACCAGAAACAACTACATGTTGTGGCGGTAATCCATACCTGATGTAAGTTCTCTCTCTCTTTTTTCTTCTTGACCACTTTCCGCTTTCCCACTCTTCCAGAGATATTCCACGTCAATCAGAATCGGTGATCTATGAAGTGCCTTCATTGCTGGTGCTGTCAAAACGGGATGGGAGCATGGGCGCGTTCATTCATTCCCCGCTATCCTCCGTCTGCTATCTCCAACGACGACCAGAGCGGGAGAGAGCGGGGAAGGAAGGGTCAGTGTTTCTGTTGCTTTTGGATACATTCTGTGGTAACCTACTGCCGCTCGCTTTACGATGTAAACATTAATAGACAGACAAACAGAAAAATACATACACGCCGTATTTACCCTTACTGCATTTCGCTTGGGGTAATTTGCGCAAATGTATGGCGCAGATAGAAAGTGTTAATGCTCCAATGCTATCGAATTTCGTAACCTTGTAATTGCATGGTGCAAATACGCAGATTTGCATATACTTCAGTTCGGTTTACCAACATTTTGTTTTTTTGATTCGATGTTTACTTACAATTTTACCTTTTGAGTCTTCTTTCCTTCATCGCAAATTTTTTCTAACTGTTTTCATGCGCACTCCTCGTCGTCATACTAAACATCCCCCTTCAATATTTTGCATTACGAATGATTGGGGACGCTGCGCTTTTACCACCACTCCTTCCCGATCTTCCTACCCACACTTCATTTCCATCCCCATGAACCATTATCCTTAATTCGCTCCTCATTGTCGCATGTCATAACTACATCGTCGTTGTTTGCAGTTCGTATCCGTCGCGGCATTTTCGTCGGTATTCTACTGCTATGGCAGTGATGTACGGATTGTCATCGTTCCCTTCATTCTTGTTTCTTTCCAAATTTTGTTCAAGAGAGAAGCCAATGTTCATGCTTGAATTAAGTAGTCCATGTCTTCGTACTTCCATAAGTTATCTCCAACTTTGTTTTCTGTTTTGGCGGAATATGCCTGTGATCTCTTGCATAAATTTTAATGCGGTGAGTGAAAGTACAAGGTTCATTTATCTAAAATGTGATGATAAGCGAATATCAAATATACAGATTTATTATTCTGCCTATTGTCAGTGATTAGTTTCGTTGTTTTCCATGGAGAAATCCAACAAAATAGAACGAAAATGGTCTTTCCATTCCACTTACCTCACTTGTCACACAGACCTAACCTTTATCCGGAACTGGTCATTATCGATTGGGTGCTCCTCAACTTAAATATTTTCAACTACTTTCAGACACCAATATTTTAATTTACTTCATTTGCAAGAACACGGTATAGCACACTTGAGTTTTCCACCAAAAATTTATGTTCAAAAAGCAATTTATGAAACAAAATGATGTGTACATTATATTTTTGCATATGAATCAAATGAAATTATTCAAAAATAAGGGAATTATAAGTTTGGATACAATTTCCGTTCCTTTTTTATTTGTTGATACTGCAGGACGCCAACTCAAAAAACAAATAATAAATGAGTCATCAGTTGAAGTAGAAAGAAAGGGAGAGAGAAGGAGAGTTTATTTTCAAAAAGTTATGAGATTTCGGAATCAATGTTCCGGACGATAGCGTAGAAACCAATGTTATGTTTGGCTTTGCAGATCTCTCTCCATATCTCATAGATCCTTGTCCTTTCATCTGATTTCACTTTTTGAAATCCTGATTAATTCATCGCTTAAAGAGGTGATTTTATTTTGACACTGTTATTAATGTGTGCCTTTATTCCGGTTGTCCCACTTGGCTCCACTTTCGTCTCTGTTCTGTCTATTAAATGTAAGCCATCTAATAGAAAGTAAAAGCAATTTCTGCTTCTCTCTGGCTTTATTTTCACCAGCCAGGCCAGGCCTTTCTCCCTCTCTACAACCAGAAGAGCTGCAAAGCTTGCATAATTAGCACCTTATGATAACTGCAGACACTAAACATTGTTTACATCGACACATCATTTTGAGCAGTGAAACAATCAGGAGATTCGAGATACCAAATCACTATTCTTCTGAGCACTCAGTAACCCTCCGAACTTGACAATTCTTGTTTGCTGAGTGTAAGTGTGTATGGATTTCTTACAAATACTGATCTGATCGGGAGAACAGTTTGCACTTGTATCAATAAGTAGGATGCATGAACTACTAAAACCTGCCTAAATTTTTTTCTCAAGGACATGAATTGGAGATTATGATCCCAGGAGTGCTCCACTGGAAATTCAGACACTTTTATGTGCGTTTAATAGACTTCGAATTTCAAGGTTACTGTAATAAGGAAATGATCATATGCTGGGCAGTTACCAGAAATGCAGTCGGGTATTTATTCAAGATTTACAGAAAAGAAAGAAGAAGGTTTCACAGGAATACGCGAATTTACTGCTTTTTTTGGTTGCATTGGAGGTTGAAAAGACGCTCGAATATATATATATGCTTGAATTGAGGGGTAGAAAGATCGGAAGAAATATTCCTGTCCTTTCTCCTGTACGTCATCTAAACTGACTATTTGCTTGGAGAATTCAGTTGTCGAGTTCTCCGAATGAGGCTAGGGATTTTTGTCAGTTATTAAGCCGATTACTACAGTTACCTTAAGTATGGTATCTCGTTTATTCCTCAAATAACTTAAGTAATATGTGTTTCAAATAAGGTTTGTCTTTTCTGGAGGCAAAGAGTTATAATACAATCACATAGTAGTGCGGGTGGGATAAAAACTTTAGTTCACGTGGGTATTCATCATCTGAAACCTACTCTTCTATGATTAGACCTTGTTTGTGAATGTCAATGAGTGAGTTGTGCGAATAAGTTTTAGACAGAAATCTATGCATTTTATAATTTTGTAATTATTTATTTCCACATTTTTTTGGGCGAAGAAGTGGGAACCTGTGTGGAAATTGCAACGAATAAAGTATCGGTAGTATATGGAAATATCGTCTTTATCGCGTCTTTTTTTTTTCCGTCAATTTCAAAGAAAAACGGCATTGTCTTTGCTAATTCTTTTTCACTGTTTCAAAAAACGCTGAAAAAGATCTTTTTCTGACAACAGAAATAATTTTACCCCACTATTTCATTTTAGGTAGTCCTTCAAATAATACTATTTCATTTTATCTGTACTTTATCTTGGGCCCTGGCAGGATACGAAATAAGACAACGCTTGCTTCGGATAGATAATTTTAAAAATTGACAGAGAGATCCCAAGAAATAAAAAATGACCTTCACCCCGTACTCAGCTTCTCTTAACCTTTCCTTTATCCACTATGAAATTTTGTTGGAAGCTGGGACGTTGGCAAAGCTACTAAAACGTTCAACTTAGTTGTGAATGCTTTAATTGAAATTAGAATTCGATTTATTACAAATTTCGAATTCTACTGATTGGAACATT